CCCTCCTCCTCCCCGCGGGGCGGGGCCGAGCGGGACCCCGGCCCCCAGCCCGGCTGGGCCCAGCTGTCCCGCGCCAGCCCGGGACCTAAGTGCGGCAGGGGAAATGAGGCCTGGTTCTGGAAGCTTCCTGGAGCTGGAGGTGCGGAGTTGCAGGACCCACGGAGCGTGGGGAGGCGCAGGGAGCCGCTTAGGTGGGCACCATGCGTCTCCGGGGCCCTCGCTCTGTGTCCGGGCTCTCCCGCAGCCTCCCTGAGCCCCCTTGGCAAGCCCACGGGCACGTCGCCCCGTCTTAAATGCTTTTACATTGATTTTAGAGAGGAAGGGAGAAGGACGGAAACATCGATCCTGCTGCCTCCTGCGCGCCCCCTCCTGGAGATGAAGCCCACAGCCCAGCCTGTGCCCTGACCTGGAATCAAACTGGTGAACTGTTGGTTCATGGGTCCACGCTCAGCCAGAGCCACACGGGAGGTGGAGAGGGGGCGGGGGAAGGGAGGGGCTGTCACCCCCTTTTAAGAACAAGGAGCTGGGGCACAGCTGGTAGCTAGGCTGGGAAGGCGAACCACCCCACCACCCATAGAAAGGCCGGAGAGAAGGCAGCTGCCCTGAGCAGAGGCTCCACATTGCGGGGTCCTGCTGACTCATTTAGCACTCGCCCTGCAGTCCGGAGCCCGAATGCCAGCTGGCTCATCGACAGGGGCACCGGGACTGCCAAGGCTGCAGAGGGTTCTGAGTGAGCACATCCTCTCAGAGGGGACCCAGGAGTGAGCCAGGTCACTGGAGACGGCACCCAGCTAGGACACAGACCACTGATGGGTTGGGGGGGTGGGCATGAGCGCTGCCTGTCTGACGTGCCCGTCACCACACTCGCTGCCAACTTGCCTCGGGAACCAGACGGGCCCCGCTGCCAGCCGGGCCTCCCTGTCAGATCTGCTGTCTGGCTGACCTCCCTCAGACCTCCACTCTCCCCATGTCGAGTTGTTTCTTGCAGGCTGGGCCTGCTGGCCAGGGAGCAGGGCTCTCTTTAAGGTGACCGCATTTCTCTACTTACATCCATTTTGGATCACTGTCATAGTTTAACGTTCTAATGATTTATTCCCAGTAATTATTTTCCTGTCAAGCTCCCCCCTCCCCCCACAACACACACACATTATACTGCCCTCACCATCCTCTTTACATATTCACTTCAAAGAATAGATACATTCATCAGTTATACTTGAGGCTGACTGCTCATTTTACTGGGAGTCCTGGCTTTTTAAAAGCTTAAAGCCCCCCTCCCTCCCCAATTCACCATGTAAGCTTAAACTAGAGGGAAATTTCTGTGTTGGAATGGCAGCCACCCCAGGGAGGACAGCAGCTGAATACAGACTGATACTTCTGGCAGACATGCCACCTAGAAGGTGAGGACCAGCACAAGTCATGGGGGAACCAGGAATACCTGGCAGATTCTCACGCCCCCACCTCCCCACCTCACAGGAAGCAAAGTTCGAGGAGGAAAGTGATGAGGCCCAATAAAGTCCCACAGGTGGGGCAGGGGCGGGAGGAGGGGAGGGAAATCTGTAATACTTTCAACAACAAAGATAATAACTTTAAAAAGATTTTTTTTAAATCCCAGTGTTGCGTGCAGAGCGCCTACTTGTGGTAGGAGCCATCCCGGCAGCGGCGCAGGCAGGAGGCCTGGGAGTTGCTTTTTCTAATCCCTACTCCTGTTGGTCAGGGGAAAACACTCAGGTCAGGAGAATGGAAATGAGTGACCATGCAAACTTCCAGTCATTTGCATTAGAAAACCTCTGCCCTCCTGGGAGGAGTCTGAGACGGTATTTTTTTGGAAAAATATTCTAGTAATTTTCTTCAACATCAGCATAAGTGCCCGAAGGGGTAATGGCTCACCTAAAGGTCTTTTCCTCCTTCAAACCACTGCTGGGCTTAAGGAGCCTGCTTAACACGCAGCTCTACCCCATGGCAGCGGCAGTGAAATGAGCGCGACCCCCGCTGGAGTCAGGTGTGTGGCCTGTGTGAGAAGAATCAGCAGATGCACGCGGCAAACATTTCTGAACACCTCTGTTGGTATTAGGGAAAGGGAGAGAAACATCCATGATGAGAGAAATGTTAATTCTATTTTACTGCCTTTCTCTCATCATGGATGTTTCTCTCTCTCCCTTTCCCTTCCTCTCTGAAATCAATAATAATAATAATAATAATAATAATAATAAAAGATGCCGTAACCGGTTTGGCTCAGTGGATAGAGCGTCAGCCTGCGGACTGAAAGGTCCCAGGTTCGATTCCGGTCAAGGGCATGTACCTTGGTTGCGGGCACATCCCCAGTGGGGGGCGTGACGGAGGCAGCTGATCGATGTTCCTCTCATCGATGTTTCTGACTCTCTATCCCTCTCCCTTCCTCTCTGTAAAAAATCAGTAAAATTTAAAAAAAAAGATATGTTGCAAAATTACAACAGTCCTGAGGTGCGGAGGGGGAAGGAATTACATAATCTGGCTGTTGCTGGTGGCGGTGGACGATCTGGAAATGCTTGTCACGCTCCAAGGAGAGGGACCAGCATATAACGAAACTTGTTTTCAGATTCTCCTGTGGCCACGTGTGGGAGGGGTCAGGAGGAGACCTGGGCAGGAGTCCTGAGAGGCCAGGCGTGAGGTGGTGAGGGGACCCAGGGAACAAACACTGCGCCCCTGAAGGGCGGATGGTGCTGAGCAAGGAGCCTCCCGTTTGGGACGCTCAGGTTTGGGTCCGATGGGGGAACCAGGAGAGACGGAGGGTGAGAAGAGCACAGGTGTATCTCACCGTTGCCAAAGGGCATTGCAAAGACTGGGGAGTCCTCGGGGAACTCCTCCCTTTTGAACCTGGTAGGAAAGAAATACCTTGTTTTCCGCCAACCTCAGATATGCTCCCTGCTTTCACATGGAGTACACGGACTCCAGTGCCCCTGACAGTACAATACTTAATCGCTCTTTAATGAGCCTGAAGCCTTCAACTCAATTAGACCGAGAAGGAAGCCCGGGCAGAGGTGCCAACTCGGTAGCACCTGCTGGTCAGGGATCAGTGAGCAGGCGGGGCCGTGCAGGAAGACCTCCTGCCCTCTGGGAAGTCTGAGACGTGCTGAGGACCAGGGCCTGGGAGGCGGGGCAGGAGGGTCCACGTGGCCAGAGCTCTGGCCTCACTTGGTCGGGAAGAGTCATTTTTGAGAAGGGGGACCCAGCGGGATGGCCCCCGCCACTGGGACATTCTCGTGGTCCCACCCCATCCCACCCCTCCCTCCTTAGGCCAGAGTTTGAGAAGAGAAGGGGAGGGCCCTGCGCCAATGAAAGGACACATCGGCCCCTTGTTCCCCAGGAAGTCTGAGCTTTGACATCAGGGCAGGGTGCCAGGCAGGGGAGAGCCCTCAGGCGCAGCCTGTTCTTGCTGGGAGGTGTGGGAGCACAGCCAGGAGCCGGGTGCGGGGAGCCAGCGGGGGGCCAGCTGGCCAGCTCTGCAGAACTCATTCCCGGGACTGAGCAGTGAGGTCAGAGTGGAGGGTGTGATAGTGAAGATAACAGAAAAGGTAGGTGCTGTCTCCATCCCGTCTTATGGAAGAAGGAATGAAGCAGCAAAGAAAAATGGCCTTTCTCGGTCTCAGCCAACAGTGTGGGTGTCCGGGCTCCAGGCCTGTCCCTCCTCTGTGGCCCCAGCAGGGGACACTGCCGCCCCTCTGAGGTTAGGAGGACTAACCCTACCTACCCCACCCCTCAACCTTGGGCCAGGCCTGGTGTTGGCCAGGACCCAGCTGGCTCATGCTCATCCCCACAGACGCAGGCTACCATCCCTCTACCCTCTCCAGGGCATGAAGCCACGGCTGGAGGACACAGAGCCATGGGGGATAAAAAATATTTATTTAATCAGAGAGCCTCTGAAGGCACCTGGTTTCTGTTGAGTATAAAAAAAGGCAGTAAAATAGCAACTGTACAGGATACATGATAGACACAAGGCAGGGGGAGCAGGGGAGGGACAGGGAGGTTGGGGGGAAGGTACAGGGAGAAGGGAGGGGTGCAATATCAGACTGGACCTTAGAACACAGTCCTGGCCCCTAGCCACCCCTGGTACAGACAGACAAATATACAGACACATAGACACACACACTGAGCCTGGGAGCCTCTTCTGTCTGCTCAAGTAGGAATCAGAGCCAGATGTGGGGGGATTCGAGGATACGCAGGGACCGTGTCCCCTCCCTCGACTCTGACCTGCATGCCAATGTCCCCACTGTCCACCGAGAGGCTCCCTCCTCGGGGCCTGGACACCGGGCCCAGCACAGGCCATGAGAAAGCAGAATTCAGTTAGAAGAGAAAACCTCCGGCCCACCCCTGCCCACCCCTGAAGGACAAGGAAGGGGCAAGAGCTGGCGGCCAGTGCAGTCCTCTGTCCATCTGGGTTACACAATTGCCCGGAACAGGAAGGCGAAGACAGCCCCTAGCGCCAGTCCCAGAGACAGAAAGAAGGCCATGATGGATCCAGCTGTCTCAGCCTCTGCCGGCTGCACTTTCCTAAAGGAGGGAGGCAAGGCTACCTTAGGATGGCTCCTACTCCAGCCCCACCCAGGGCATCAGGGTGGGGAGACTTGCCTGAGCACCCAGTTCTGCTGACCAACCCATCCTACCCTCCCAACCCCAATCTGGGGGCTGTCTTCCTCCTTACCTGAGAGTCCCCTCCCCCACCCCCACCCTGCACTCCCGACCAGGACCAGGTGCCCCTCCCTGCGTGGCCCCTCAGCCTGGAAACCGTAAGCGCCAGGATCAGGGAGTCTCCCTTGCCCTCTCCTGCTCTGGGGAGTGCCCTACCCCCCATTGGAGCGCTAGGCCCTGCCCGACACTCACTTGGGCCCAAAGCACATGCAGAGACTGGCGAGGTAGCCGTTGGAGAAGGCGAAGGCGGCTATGAAGATGATGTACCACGCGTCGTGCTTAAAGACCACGGGCAGGTATCTGCGGGGGTGCACGTTGCACAGCAGCAGCAGGGGCACGAACACGAGCCGGGCCACCACCAGGCTTGGCAGCCAGCGGCTGTCCTTCCCAGGCTGTGGGGACCAGGCAGTGCCTCAGCCGGCCGGCTCCCAGGCACACCCAGGCCCCCAGGGCCCCTCAGGATCTGCACTGAAACCTATGGGTACTGATGGGGAGGGACAGAGGGGAACCTTCTGGAATGCTGGAAATGTTCTCCATGTTGACTGAGTGGTGATTATACAGGGGATGCACATACAGACATTAAGCTATCCACTGAAGGCTTGTGCACCTCACTATACAGAATGTCTAGGTTTTTAAAAAAGCCTGGTCCCCTTGTCACCATACTTTCTCGGTGCCCTTGATGGTGTCAGGGTGGATTCTTCCCTCTCGCCGGGGCGTGGTGCCCTCTGCTTCCACTTACCCACATGGTTATGGTGGTGAGGCTCCGGCCCAGCCAGTCGAAGACATTGAAATTCAAGAAGCAGGACACAGGAATGAAGTAGTGTCCTGGGGAAGGAAGAATCCATTAGGGGACGGGGATTAGGCCTGGAGGCAGACTTAGCCACCTTGACCCTCCCTGGGCCTGAGTGTCCCCAGGGAAGGGCAAGAGGACCAGGAGAGACTAGCTGGGGAGAGGGCAGCCCAGGTCTCTTTTCCCCACTCCCAGTCCTGCTAGAGCCCGTCCATCCCCATCCTGGGAGCCCCTGGTGTCCTCACCCCAGGCGCTACTGCCTGCAATGCTGGACGTGGCATCAGAGGTAACAGCAGGAAACACCCCAATGGTGACGGTGAAGACGAAGCAGACGGAGAGAGCTGGGACTAAAACCTGGAGGAAAGGACCCAGGTTCAGTCTTCAGGGCAGCCATGCATTACAGAACCACACACACACACAAACACACACACAG